ATGAGCATCACCACCAAGAACTCCTCGTACCGCCGCATGTTCGGCGGGGGCAGCCGCCCCAGCCCCAGCACCCGCTACATCACGTCGAGCAGCCGCTACTCGCTGGGCAGCGCCCTGCGCCCCAGCAGCGCCCGCTACGTGTCCGCCTCGCCCGGCGGCGTGTTCGCCACGAAGACGACGTCGGTGCGGCTGCGGAGCAGCATGCCGCCCATGCGGCTCCACGACGCCGTGGACTTCACGCTGGCCGACGCCATCAACACGGAGTTCAAGGCGAACCGCACCAACGAGAAGGTGGAGCTGCAGGAGCTCAACGACCGCTTCGCCAACTACATCGACAAGGTGCGCTTCCTGGAGCAGCAGAACAAGATCCTGCTGGCCGAGCTGGAGCAGCTCAAGGGCAAGGGCACGTCCCGCCTGGGCGATCTCTACGAGGAGGAGATGCGCGAGCTGCGCCGGCAGGTGGACCAGCTCACCAACGACAAGGCGCGCGTGGAGGTGGAGCGGGACAACCTCGCCGACGACATCATGCGGCTGCGGGAGACCGGGGGATGCCGCGGCCGGGGGCAGGGCGGGAGCCTTTGTCTGCCTTTATCCCGGTCCAGCCCGCCGCACAAAAGGGCGGACCCGCGTCCCGGTCCCACGGAAGCCAAAGGCGCCATCTGCGCGCTTGGCTGGAGGGCATTAGCGGTTTCTATGGGGCGCGCCGCGGAATGCGCGCGCGGGCATTAGGGCAAGTGCGGCGGCAGCGCGCGGGAATAATGGAGCCCTTTGTGGGCGCGCGGAGGGCGCCGGGGCCGCGGTCCTGCCCCATGTGTAATGGGGAAAGCGCAGGGCTGGGAAACGTGTCTGCCGTGCGCACGGCCCCGGCCTCCGGAAACGGAGCCGCTTTTATTTTGTGAATCCGCTGCACGGCTAGAAAAGTTTTAAAGTTAAACTCTAGCGTTGCTGTTGTCCCCTGTGAGAAGGGAACTGCCTTGGTGAGATCGCAGCAGTTAAATATTTCCCCTTTGGGCCTCAGTTAAGAATACAGATATTAGTGCAATTTGAACAAAGATGTTAACAGAGGAAATCGGTTGCTCTAGTTTGGTTTCTGTAGGAAATTACAGTGTTGCCTAAATCATCCAAAAGCTACGTGGTAACTAGAACCAGCTCTTCAAACAGTGTTGAAAAAAGTTCTAAGCCCAGCTTTTTATTTGTGTAAGAGCAGCTTTCAGCTTGCTTTAAGCCTTGTTTGGACTAGGAGACATTTAGGAATGTGCCTTCCCAAAGCAAGATCTCTTCCCTGACCTGCTGGCGTGAAACAGCATTGCCAGAACCGCTCCCAGCTGCGAGTGACGGCCCCACAGACAGCGTGTCCGGGTCCCGCTTCCGCACGAAGCCGCTCACGGACGTTCAGAGATGTCGCGGTTCAGGAAATCGTCCCTTGATTGCCAATACTTTCTTGGCCAAGGCTAGCAACTACGGCATGTTTATATTTTCTGAAGGGAGCAGGTGTCTCAATGAGATAACATGTGGAAACTAAGACACCAGCTCTTTATTTAGAGCCTGAGAATTTAGAGTTGCCGTTTGTGTTCTGGAAAGAGAAATTTGAAAATGAAGAATTCAAGGTATTGCCTAAATTTAAGCTTCTGCTTTTTTTTCTTCTTCTTTTTTTTTTCTTCTTTTTTTTTTTTTGAGTGCTGTATCTCCAAGCTCTGTGCAAAAACATTTAAACTTTGTTTTAGAGAGTCTAGATAGACCTTATTTTTTTCTGAAGTCAGCTGAAGGATCCTTTGACTTGAGGATGGCTTAAAAGATCTTGCCTACCTAGTTGTTCCACTTCAGGGCATGATTACCTCTATTTCAAACTGATTAAACTTCTTGTGGACTTAGACTCAAGGATTTTAAGTGAGCTTGGTTTTGTACATAGCCCACACTTCTTATCCAGTTAATGCCTAAGCTTCAAGGGCGGGTTATTGAGAGCCTCAGTCGATCTGTATGTGCCACTAGGCAAACTGTAGAAGTCTCTTTTCAAGTAGAGCATGCACATAAAAAAAAAAGGCAAATCTTTGTGGAAATGCTACACTATGTCTACTTATGGCCTAACTAGCATGTTCTAATGTGTTTACTTTGAAAAATAATATTACCTAATTTATGATAAAAAGGTAGATGAAGCATGCAGGCTTGAAAATTAAATACATTTAATACACAATGTCCCTTTGGTAGGTGAAATTAAATCCATGCAAAACTTGTAATTCACTAAAACATCCTCTTCTGTTTAGGGGAGCAACTTTTTATTAAACCATTACATTCTTGCAATAGTTATGTGTATTCAGAGTGCTTCAGGAGGTGGCTACATCAGAACACTCCTCTGAAGAAGACACATGTGATCTTGTTTGCATCCTTGACGGGTAGACAAGATAAAATAAACCTAAGGATTTGAGGTATTTCCTTTGGGACAAACAGACATCTGAATGAGTGAGGAAAGTTACTGCGGCTTTTCCAGTGCCTCTGGCAGTAAGGAGTAGAGCCTGTGACAAGACTTACAGGCTTATTCCTGGCTAACATGAGATTTGTCTAGAATAAACAAGTGCATTCAACCTCTTAAACCAACTTTGTGGAAAAAAAAAAAGTCAATGTCTAGTCTATTTGCATGTATCTATATGATTTAAACCTTGCTTACTCAGTATATATATAGTTCTTGGTTCTCCGTGCATGTAGGAAATAGGGAGGGAAGAGTCTGAGTATCGCTAACTTAATGATAATATGCATAATAAATAAGCATCGTATATTCAGTTCCTTCAATTTAAGATGCTTTCCAAACTGCAAAGAAATCTGTAGCTGTTGAATTGTTTGAAAAAATGAGGAAAAAATGTTCAGGTTTCTATAATACACACTGTACTTTTTGGATAACTGATCATGTAAATGTGTTAGGTCACAGTTGTATAACTCTCTTCCAGAATGATCTTCCTGTTTTTTCAGGAGGACAAATTAAGGAATTCTTTCTCTGAATTGAGAAACAGCCAAGATAAACTGTGGGTGTTCAACTGGAGTTGATAGGAGGGGTATAAAATAGCACATCAAAGCAGTGTTCTTTAGGAGAAAGGGCACTGGAGAACTAGTCTGGAGCAGGACCTTTAGCTTAGAGGAGGGGTATATCTAGGGAGAGCACCTAGAATGGTGCTCCAGGAGCCTAAAGTTTCTGTTTCAAAGGGGCCGTAGTGAGAGCTGCTAATTAAGAACTTTTTGCTTTGTGAAAATCCAAAGTGGCTTAAAAGCAAGCTGTGAAAACATGATGCTTCAGTTAATGCAGTGCAAACATAAGAATGCAGCAGTGCCTGTAACCAGAGGCAAGGAGCAGTGTTCCCCTTTGCAAAATATTTTACTTGAAGGTTTAAAATGAAGTTACCAATCAATGTTTAGTCTTAGTTATGTGTTGAACTAGTTCACGCTGCTGCTGTGCAGTATTTCCAGCCTATCTTCTTTTGTGCCATAAATGAATTTTTACTGTTGATTAAGACTATCTCAGTTCGGCAAGAGGGGGAGTCTCTGCCAGTTCATGTGAGGGTGTAGGCACCAGTGACTGACTAAATGTAATTTTATGCTCATACCTTCTTTTTTGAAAGTAGTTGGAGAAGTAAATGCTGCAGTTCTTATAGAAGCCTCATTAGCTTTAACTGTGTGTGTCAAGCTGTGGTCTGTTGGCCCAAGGGGCTCTATGGATGATTGCTAAGGAGTCAATAGAAGGTAAACAAGAACTTAGTAGGCACATGAGTAGTGCTTCTAACACTATTAGAAAAAAAAATTAAGTCCACAAATGGAGAAATTCCAAGCTGTAATTCAGTGTTGCCCATATAGCCAAGCTGAATTCAGTGTTGCCTATATAGCCAAGCTAAGAGCTCAGCAATAGCTTATGACCCAAGTGCTCTTTACCTTTGGACAGGATTTATATCCCCTGTGTGCTCTTGGTCACGTGTGGCAATACGTTAGTGAAGTTGAAATAATCAATATAATGCTGTGTGTTCCCTAAAGGGAAAGTACAGGTGCATAATCTAATCTCTGAGGTTGCAATAGAAAGGAGAAAGCAAAAAGATGAAGATTTTCATAGGTAATCGATTTCAAGTCAGTTTGCTTGAGGCTTAGAGGTAGCATTAGTTCATACACTGCTGAAGTTGTTGTAATAGATTTCTCAACATCAGTTTTGTTCATCTCTCTTTTTTCTGGTTAGGATGTTGACAATGCCTCCCTGGCACGTCTTGATCTTGAGCGCAAAGTTGAGTCCCTGCAAGAAGAAATCGTGTTCTTGAAGAAGCTTCATGATGAGGTAAGTGGAACGCAGAGGTCTGCTCAGGCACTGGCCGCCTAGAGAGCCAACAGGCTCTCCAGTGCCAAGCTGCCCGCAGCCTGCGTGCTGGCCTGCTCATGCTGACTGTCACCCCTCTCCTAGGAAATCCGAGAGCTGCAGGCCCAACTCCAGGAACAGCACATCCAAATCGATATGGATGTTTCTAAGCCCGACCTTACTGCTGCCCTGCGTGATGTTCGCCAGCAGTATGAAAGCGTTGCTGCTAAGAATCTTCAGGAAGCTGAAGAATGGTACAAGTCCAAAGTAAGTGAAATTGGCTGTAGGATGCTCAGATTCAGCAGGCACTCGGATCAGCTGCAGGCAACAGTTTTGCTGTGAAACCCAAAGCATCCAGGAGACTGTTGCTGTACCTAGTACTAATGTAGCCATGGAACAAGGTTTTCCTTAAACTTTTAGTCTTGGAAAATTGCAACTGTAAACACTAGCTTTTGCCATAACACAGCTTTAAAGTAATGGGCTCTTACTTGAAATCTTTCATGTTGTAGTTAAAAGCACCTGTTGTGATGGGGTGTGAGAGGAAGGAAGGAAGGAGTAAGTGAAAAGTGATGAAAAGGCAAGAAACTTGCAGAAAGGTGAAACAATTAAACTATGAATTCCTTTAACAATAACGCGGGAATAGAAAGGAATTTTAAGTATAATGTTTTAAGATGTTTCAGATATTAGGACTTCCTTGTAATGGCTTTAGCCGCCTCCAAATGTAGCGTCTCAAGAGCAGTCTGTTGTGCTCGTTCTTGAAGTGTCGTGCTAACCAAACTGGGGATTTCACCAGTTTGCAGATCTCTCCGAAGCTGCTAACAGGAACAACGATGCCCTGCGCCAGGCCAAACAAGAAGCTAATGAGTATCGCAGACAGATTCAGTCTCTCACCTGCGAAGTTGATGCTCTTAAAGGAAGCGTAAGTAAAAGACAGCAGTTGTTGGGACTGCTTCTCTTCCCAGGTTAAAGCACTGAAATTACTGTAATTCAGATCCTCTCACTTGTGGCAGATCAAGTGCTGACCATAGCAGTGTGTTGCTATTGATTGAAGAGGATGTGAGAGGGTGTATTAGTCTGTGTGCTGCTGTGTCCTGGTCAGGTTGATATGCTGAGATAGGCTCACTCCCTTGCTAATGCACACAGTTTATGCAGCACTTTCTAGAAGTGCTTGGGGCTTTTTCTTTTCAGGTACAGTTCAAGTTGTGTACATAGGGAAATGAGGGGAGGTCCGTGACGGGGAAGGAGAAAGGAGATGCAGATTTTGCTGTTACTAGCTGTTGCTCAGCTTAAAGGCTGACATGAAATGGGTTTACCTGTGCATAGTACATGCAGTCCCTGAGGGCTGTCTGCACGTGTATGGGTACTGCATGTGAGGGCTGCGTGTGTCATGAATTGCCTCACCACTTGCTAGAGTGACAGAATGAGTATGCACCACACTTTTAATTGGATAGCAAGAAAAGCATATTGACTTTGCAAGGGAAGTATCAGGGTGTGATAACTTGGAGTCCTTTCTGGGTAATTTCAAAAAGGACACTAACATTTCCAAGAAAAAGTTGAGTAAATATTCAAGGACCTTGAAGCAGGGGAGGAGTAGCTGAACTGCAGCAGTGATTTACTTGAGTGTTCTCTTGCAGAATGAATCCCTGGAGCGCCAGATGCGTGAAATGGAGGAGAATTTTGCTGCTGAAGCTGCTAACTACCAAGACACTATTGGCCGTCTGCAGGACGAGATTCAAAACATGAAGGAAGAAATGGCTCGCCACCTTCGTGAGTACCAGGACCTGCTGAATGTAAAGATGGCTCTTGATATTGAGATTGCCACCTACAGAAAACTGCTGGAGGGAGAAGAGAGCAGGTAAAAATCACATAAAGATTCACTTCTCTAAATAGCAATTACTAGAAAACCTCTATAGCCATGGCTGACTTGATCTACTTTTTCTCTTCAGGATTAACATGCCCATTCCAACTTTTGCTTCTCTGAACCTGAGAGGTAAGCGGTTTCAGTTAGTTCACTTCAGGCAGCTGTTCTGCCGTTAGCAAAACAGTTCTGGATATTTCCTTTTGCTCTGGTATTTGAACTCGTATAAATGCAGCTGAGCATGAATGTTATTCTTAACTATATTATTTAACCTTGGATGGGAGGAGATACTCTGTTCTGAGGCACAAATGTTTGTAAATAGTAGCATACAGGAAGTGATTCCCCTGCCTTTGAACGGATGCTTGAATGGAACTAGGGAAAAATAGGGAGCAATAGTTGATTCTTTAAAGAGCAGGACACTTCCTGGTATACTAAGTTTGGCTTCTGAAAGATGCTAAAAGCTGTTATTCCTACTTCTTTCTGAGAAGGCTGTTTATCTGGACTCGTAGTAATAACAGACTTTCTTCTACAGAAACCAACATTGAGTCTCAGCCAATGGTTGACACTCACTCAAAGAGGACACTCCTAATTAAGACCGTCGAAACTAGAGATGGACAGGTTGGTAATTTTAGTCTTACTTTTGTCACAACCAGTTACCTTATCCTGTAGTAACTCTGTATATGAGACAGTGCAGCCTGTGTATGGCAATCGGTATAGAGCAAGGCAGCATCTAGCAACTGGAGCTGTGCAGCTGAATGTGCCCGTCGTAGCAGTTAGGCTTCTGTGAAAGTGATCACCAAATCATATGACAGTTACAAATAGCATCCAATAGTTACCTTTTAAATAATATTGAAAACTTGCTAGATTGTCAGAGCTTAAAGATACTTCTCAAATTGTCAGAGGGAAAGCATGAGGTAGTATAATGGAGATATTTATTTGGGGCAAGATATCCTCTGAGCTTTATTGACTTAGTATAAAAGCAGTTTCTGTGCATCCCTAACTAAACTTCTTAGTCATAAGAGACAACTGATACCCTTTTATTCAGGCTTCTGAGCTACTAGTTGTTATAATTCTAACTTCAGATAACAACATTGTTACTGCTTAAGCTTAAATCAAATGCTTCTTTCCACAGGTTATTAATGAAACTTCCCAGCACCATGATGACTTGGAGTAGAACTGAAGTGATGATGAATAATTAATGCAGGAGAACTTACCAGCAAGATTTAAAAAGTCCATGTCTTAAAGGAAGAAACAGCTTTCAAGTGCCTTTCTGCAGTTTTTCCATGAGCGCAAGATTATTATGCTAGGAAATAGGTCTTAGATCTTGCAAACTGACTCTCCCTGAAGGATTAGAGTTTACAATGGAGTCTAGTTTACAAATAGCAATATCTTGTGCTGCAATACTGTTTTTAAGTATCTGAATCCAATAAAACTGCTTTTTCCAGCACAGTATGAGCAACCTGTCGCTACTTCAAATAAACCTTTGGAAAATGGCTCTTGATGTGTTCTAATTTGTTACTCAATGACTTTCTGCCAAGCCATAGCAACTTCAGTCTGAAATTAACTATACAGCTGACAACTCCAGTACAGGTGCATGGGAGCTTTATGGGTTTTTCATTTTTCACTAGACAAGATGTTTCTTACCCATTTCTTACTTGAGTTTGGATCCAGCTAAAATGAGCTAAAACTGGCAGATATGTAATGTCTTATTTCTTACTTGAATAAAAGAAGATTCTTCATGTTAATAAGAGTGGTTTCACTATGCAATTCACAGATAAAAGTTTGGCCATTTTTAGCTCTTGCTAACCAAGACTTTAATAAGAGAATCTTTTATTCACAGATAAAAGTTTGACCATTTTTAGCTCTTGCTAACCAAGACTGTGTAAAAATATAGCAGTTAAATATCTCTAAGGTAAGATTAGGGGTTGACCTGCTGGAAAGCAGCTCTGGAAAAGGCTTTGGGATTCCTGATTGCTGACTCATGGTTGACCTGTTGTCAATGTGCCCTTGTGGCTTCTCGAGAGGGTCCAACATAGGGCCGTGAAGATGAAGGGACAGGAGCATCTATTGTATGAGGAAAGACTAAGAGAGCTGGGCCTGTTTGGCCTGGAGAAGATTGAGAGGAGATTTGATCAATATGTGCAAGTACCTGAAGGGAGAATGTAGGGAGGATGGGGCCAAACTCTTCTCCATGGGGGCCACTGACAGGACAAAGGGTAAAGGGTACAAGCTGAAACACAGGAACTTCCTTCTCCATATAAGGAAGAACTTATTTCCTGTGAGGGTGACAGCGCTGGAACAGGCTGCCCAGAGAGGTTGTGGAGTCTCCTTCTCTGGAGATCTTCAAAACCCACCTGGATGCCACCCTGTGCTCTAAGTGTCCCTGCTTGACCAGGAGTGTTGGGGCTAGATGATCTTTAGAGGTTCCCTTCCAACTTCAATTATTCTGTGATTACGTGTGAAGAATAAGTTGCCTGAGGAGGGCAGAGCTTGCTTCTAGTACTTAAACACCTTTAAAACACAAAATTTTTCTACTCTTTTGCGCTCAAGATACTTAAATTCAGTACAGCTCTTGCAGTGCAATAGTTACTACTCTTTTGTTCTGTCTCAATTCTATAATGCACGTTTTTCCATAGCCTTTAGTTGGTTGGGGTCTTAGAGGGATGATTAACTGAGAATTGGAGTCATTCAGTAAGTGTGAACTGCAAAGTCATGGTAGTTGGTGAGTGCTGTAGGGGCATTTTCATGAGGACTTCAGTGTGCACCTCAGAGAGGCAGTGCAGGGACTTGAAAGAGGGGGCAGTAGATTACCACTATTTTTCAGGAGCACATTCAATATCAAAGATGCCAGGGACTGGGATGCGCTGCAACCCTGAGCTGTGAGATGTCCCCCACTCTTGGGGCAGGTGCTCATGTGTGACTGGAGTTTACACCTGTGATCTTTCCCGGAGGTGAAATGCTGATGCTGTTCTTCCAAGCACAGCATCCAACTTCTAAAACATGTGTGGTGGTGCTGTCCCTACCCTGCTTTGTTCTAATACGTGTTTACAAAGAACTTCAAACTCTTGTTTTTTCTTCCCAGAAGACTGACAGGCCCGATGGGGCTATTCTGTTCCCCACTGTGTTGCATTTGGTTTGATAGTCAGTGAAGAAAAGGGACCTGTGGATGTCTGGCTTGGTGTTTAGGAGCATGTGCAGCTGACAGGAGGGTCTTATAGCTGCTCCTCTGTTTATTCTGAAGACTCTTTCATGCAGAAGGTTCAGAGGGCCTCCGTCCCCCTGCTTATCAAGTAGGTTGTGCTCCTTGAAAAGGGAGAGAGGCGCAGACCCTCTCATGCCATGGAAGATACTGGAGCCGGGTTTTCTACTACCTGCTCAGTATCTGGAAAAGCGCAGATGAGCAGCGTGGGGGATACTTGCCATAAAGCTACAGTTCTGGGTAGGTGCAATAGCTATTTCTGAGCACATAATAATAAGGCATACAGCCTTTCAGGAACAGGGACGGGGTGCTTACATCATGCCCACTGCATCTCTAGACACGGAAGTCCTTTTGTGGATGTGGGTATTGAAAGGATTAAGGCAACCTTTAAGGTAACTTCTTACAGCTCAAGTGCTGTGGGAGTACAAGGGCAGGGAGAGGCAGCTCTGCCTGGGGGCTGTGAGGACCACAACAGCTCTGGGCTGCAACACCGAATGTGTTCTGAAATGCAGGTCTGTTGTAGGAAGTTACCCAAATTGTGACGTTCTGCTTCAGATGCCACTTCTCCCTCTGCTTCTAGCTGCTGCTCTTCTTTGCCTTTGATTTCTTTAGTAACTAGATGAAAAGAAGTGATTGTACCAGCCACTGACAGGAAAGCAAAGGAGTTATTCCTGGCTCTTTTGTGCTCAGGGTTACTCACAGCATAGAGAACCATGTGGCTGGGGAATAAATAAATAAATAATCCATAAGAATAAACCCAGTTGCCAAGGGGATAGGAAGATTGCAGGAAACCATTGCCAAGCCTGTGGTGGCCAGCTATTCTCACGACAGGAAGGAGAGCGGGTGATTCCCATGCAAAATTCTCACCGCCTGATCTGGGCACACCAGCCTTACCCTCCTGTGCAACTGCTGCAAGCTGCTTAGTGCTGAGTCAGCAACTAACCTCCAAACTATATTTCACATCCTAAAAACTTGAGCAGGAGACAATACATTGAGCTGGGCAGCCACCAGTGGAGACTGCGCTTATTCCACCCTCCAGCCCGCACCGTGAGGCTGTTGGTGTTGGCTACGCAGCTGTGCTGAAAGGTTTGGTTTCCTCCCGCACTGACTGACGGCTGCAAACAAAAGTCGCCAGGTTCCTGCATGGGAAATAAAGGAGGTCACCACTAAGGCCTTCACGAAGAGTTTTTTACTACAACTCGACCTTCTAGTCCGGGTTGCAGTGGCCAGTCTCCTGCAGGCCTCTTCTGCCTCAGTTTCTCCACATGGAAAGTTGCATTATCACATCACCGACAGAGATGTTGGAAGACTTAGCAGATGCAAAGTGCCAAGATCACTCTGTGAAGGCTGCTAACAGAAATGGTATGCAATGCAGAAAAGTAATATTAAAGATCATTCGATCACAGCAATCTGTTTCTCTCTGACCTTGTGAGGTTCCTTTTTTTTTGGGGGGGGGGGAGAAGAAATAAAAGTATTTTGGAATTGAAAGTGTTTTTGGCTCACAAACAGCAGTTATAACTCTGACCTAATCAAAGGCTCTTGCTTTCTCTGTTCCTCCCTCTGTGATAGCAATTAACTCTATACCTCTGTGGGGCTATTACCTCTATAAACGACACTGCTGCTTTCACTGCTGGAACACTGTGTTCAGTGGCAATATCTGTAATTTTTCAAACTGCTTGGAAGAATAAGCTAAAAGAAACAGCCACGGGATTGCTCTGATGTGCTGATAGTTTGCATTAGCTGTGGAAACCACACTTGAGGCACCTCGGGCCTTGGGGCCTGCAGGGTGCCGGGGTAGGCGTGTGGCCTTGCTGTGCCTCCTGTGGCGATGCCAATGCCAATGCCAATGTCATGTCCTTAGGCACAGAGCTGCTGTCAGGCCCCCGCGATCCACATGCACAGCCACAAAAGCTGCAGAGGGGAGCTCTTCAGAAGCCCATTTGTGAGAAGCTGCTCACACTGGCCAGGTGTGAAAGCTGAGGATGGGATCTGGTCAAAGGGCCCCGCACCAGAATGTGAGCAACCTCCCTCACTGCACAGGTCCTAGAGGTTTTGCTTCTAAATCCTTCCACAGGCAAGGGGAAGGGAACATGGATATTACCAAAACTTTAAAAGTAGTTTGTTTAAGCTGTAATTGATACATGATAGAGTGCTGTCACACATGCTGAATTAGGAAGCACCAGAAACAAAAACACATATACTCAGGATTCATTTGGTCTTCTGTGCTCATGCTGAACACTAGAGACTTACCATGGAGACTGGTGGACCTCGTCTTATGCAGGCAATGCACCAAACAGCCCTTCAGGAATGAGGTATACCCTCGCAGCTGGGGTATTTTAAGACCTCTGCCACATATGTCCCTCCAGCTTATTTATCTGCTTTAACAGGCTGAATGTTCAATTGCCTCCAGAGCATTCCCTGCTGCTTTTCATTGCTTTCCACACAAACCCTGTGAGATGGGGGATATCATCAGTCCTGTTTCACACAGGGGGCCATGGAACACCATGAGCAAGCTCAAAAGTGTAAGCTTACGTATTTTAAAGACCTTCCTGACTTCAGGTCCTGATACTTCCAAAATTCTTGGATTCTCCCTCAACGTCTCCTAAATGAGCAGAGGGGAAAGCTGCTCAGGCTCTGCAGACCGCAGCGCCAGACTCCCCGCACAGCGAGGGCGAGCCCAAGGGCACCGACCGCCCGGCGCTGCGCAGCGCTTCTCGCGCAGACCCACCAGGCGCCTGGCGTTTTCTCTCCGCTTCTGTTTCAGAGACGTATTGCAGCTGTCTCCCCGTGGTGGGTAGCACGAACTGCAAGGGAAGAGGCCTATGTGCAGTCGTGGTCTGTGTGTGCTCTGGGGCACCATGCCCGATGCGGTGGTCCTGCCTGCAGAGGAGTTATTCTCTGCTAATAGCTGTGTTTCTGAAGTGCCAGGAAGGTGTCTCAGATCTGGCAAACACCAGATAAAAGCACAGTCGGGAAAAGTAGTGGATAAGTCCCTGTCTAGCTGAGATTCAGCTGGGTGAGTGTCTCTGCAGTTGTTTGGAGGTTGTGTGAGAGGGCTGAGAAGGATCTAGGTTCAAAGTCCATCCTCCACCTAATTTCAAGTAGGCTTTTAAGCATAGATCTTCCAATGCAAGACAGTCTGGAGCCTCTATGCAGGTCCAAAAAGCAAAAGAATGGACTATGAAAATGCTCTTCTTTTGTACAAGCTGGTTTTACAACAATCTGGTCATACATGGTAAAGTGAATGGTATGAAGTGATTTTGCTGGCTTGAGCACTCCAGCCCCCACCCTACCTAATGTTTAGATGCTGCAAAAATATCTTGGCTCACACTTTGTTTCAAATAATGTAGTCATGTTTTTAAAACTTGCTTGGTAAATCTGGGGTGGAAATTATAAAAGTACTTTCTGCTTTGGCAGACTTCTTTTGGTGATGCTTGCTGGAGCGCTTCACAGCTTTGCTGCCCTGACTGAGGAGTCTCCTGGGCTAATGTCTTGCGCAGGCCATCCACAGCACAAAGCTCCTTCCCTGCTGCCTTGAGC